TTTCTTTCTTTCTTTCTTTCTTTCTTTCTTTCTTTCTTTCTTTCTTTCTTTCTTTCTTTCTTTCTTTCTTTCTTTCTTTCTTTCTTTCTTTCTTCTTTCTTTCCTTTCTTTTTCACTTTTTTCTCTCTTTCTCTTCCTCTCACTCTCTTTCTTTCTCTTTCTTTTCTTTCTTTTTCTTTCACTTTTTTCTCTCTCTTTCTCTTCCTCTCTCTCACTCTCTTTCTTTCTCTCTCTCTCTCTCTTTCCCTCCCCTCCCCTCCCCTCCCCTTCCCTTCCCTTCCCTTCTTCTTTCTCTTGAGATGGAGTCTTGCTCTGTCACCCAGGCTGGAGTGCAGTGGCCTGATCTTGGCTTGAACCTCCCAGGTTCAAGCAATTCTCCTGCCTCAGCCTCCTGAGCAGCTGGGATTACAGGCGCCAGCCACCATGCCCAGCTAATTTTTGTATTTTAGTTGGGACAGGGTTTCACAAACGTTGGTCAGGATGGTCTCGAACTCCTGACCGCAAGTGATCCACTTGCCTTGGCCTCCCAAAGTGAGCCACTGGCCCATCTACTTTCTTGTTCTTTGTTAGCACCACCCTAATCCACCTCAGTTTCACCTAGGCAATTGCAAGAGTTTCTTAGTTGGTCTCCCATCCCTTAGTCTCTCTTTCTTTTCACACTCTTCCATTCTCCATATAGCAGCTAGAGTAATCTTTCCAAAATGCACATCCAATCAGGCTACCACTATCCCTTGACCTCTCCCCACTGAAACTTTCCATCTTCTACCACTCTTCCCCTTCTATTAATACCTCCAACTTTATGGCTTCTTTCAGTTCCTCAAGTTTGTCCTGATTGCTCTATATGGTCCCTGTTTCTGGAATGTCCTTTTCACTTCCACTTTGCCTATTTATGCCTCCAAATTGATTTCCATTGTTATTTCCTCAGGCCTTCCTTGAACCCCTTTACCTACCACCCACCCCAATCTAGTAAAGACCTCTTGGCTATGTGCTCGCAAAAACTAATGTTTGTTTCCTCAGAGCATGTATATTAATTGGTAATTATATATTTATCAATGTGAACATAATATGTTTACTAAACTCAGTTTCCCCCAATAGACCTCCAAGGAGATGATGAAGGTAACCCTCTATTTTTGGCTTACCATCATATCTTTAGTACCTTGCATTATCCTTCGTAAAAGTGCTCAATCCTTGTTGAATGAGTCAGTAGACAGATGAATACATGATTGAATGCATCAACAGGAAAGACCTCCAAGAAGAAATAATGTTTGAACTTCCTCTTTAAAAAAATTTTTAAAGTCAGCCTTGGTGGCTTACACCTGCAATCCCAGCACTTCGGGACACGAAGGCAGGTGGATCACTTCAGGTCAGGAATCTGAGACCAGCCTGGCCAACTTGGCAAAACCCCATCTCTACTAAAAATACAAAAATTAGCTGGGTGTGGTGGTGCATGCCTGTAATCCCAGCTACTCGGGAGGCTGAGGCACGAGAATCACTTGAACCCAGAAGGGGGAGGTTGCAGTGGGCGGAGATCATGCCACTGCACTCTAGGCTGGGAGAGAGAGTGAGTGAGACTTTGTCTCAAAAAAAAAAATTTTTTTTAAATATACACTTTTTTCTTTTTTGTATAGAGATGGAGTCTTGCTATGTTGCCCAGGCTGGTCTCAAACTCCTGGGCTCAAGCTATCCTCCTGCCTCACCTTCCCATAGTCCTGGGGGATTACAGATGTGAGTCACCATGCCAGCCTGCTTTTACTTTTCTTTGATTAACTCTGTTTTCAGGATTCATCCTTATCACTACATATAATCTAATTCATTGCTTATAACCGCTACATAGATTCCATGGTAGGCATCCATTATACTTTACTTACCCATTCCTGACTTCCATACACAATGCCAGACAGTTATCTCTTATATAGTCCCCTGTGAGCCAGTTCAAGAATTTCTCTGGAACATATTCCTCGGAGTGGAATTTCTGTGGTAAGGTATGTGCATGCTCAATTTTACTAAGTAGCATCAGATTATTTTTCAGAAAATCTGTAGCTATAAACTGGGCATGGCATGCACTTGTAGTCCCAGCTTCTCAGAAGGCTGAGGGAGGAGGATTGCCTGAGCCCAGGAGTTTGAAGCCAGCCTTGATAACATGGTGAGACATTCTTTTAAAAAACCTGAAAAACAAAACAAAACAAGAAAACCCAGGTCTGTAGATGTTTACAGTATCAACATTATTACTGACAGTTCTTATTACCTCAGACCCTTCCCAACACTTAATATTATACAACTCTCTAATATTTGCAATTCTAACGTGTATATTAAGTGTACTCTTAGTTATTTAAAATTACATTTCTCTGATTACTAGTGAGTTTGAGTGTTACTTCATATTCTTTTTTTTTTTTTTTTCTTGAGATGGAGTCTCACTGTGTTGCCAAGGCTGGGGTGCAGTGGCATGATCTTAGCTCACTGCAACCTCAGCCTCCTAAGTTCAAGTGATCCTCCTTCCTCAGCCCCACTAGTAGCTGGGATTACAGGCATGTGCCACCATCCCCAGCTAATTTTTGTATTTTTCATAGAGACAAGGTTTCGCCATTTTGGCCAGGCTAGTTTCCAACTCCTGACCTCAGGTAATCCACCCACCTTGGCCTCCCAAAGTGCTGGGATTACAGGCGTGAGTCACTGCACCTGGCTATTTCATATTCTTATTAGCCAACAAAACTTCCTCCTCTCTGAAATGCCTATT